AGATAGATAGATAGATAGATAGATAGATAGATAGATAGATAGATAGATAGATAGATAGATAGATAGATAGATAGATAGATAGATAAATAAGCAGCCTACTACTGGCAGACTAAACTCTGAGAACAGGCTGATATTCGTGACGTCAAAATTAGGCGACGCAGCTCCACATGGCAACCTGCTGAAGTTTCGCGTTTTCATTAAAGGTAGTGGAATTGTCTTATGTTTAAGTTAACCGTAATTTCACACCACGTATATAATTTCTATTTCAGTATTATATCAATGTCAGGGTTTTGTAGTAGCTGTTAAACAGTCAGCGGGACGTGGAGGCGCCTTTTAGCATTCAGGCTAACGAGTTAGCTGCAGACCTCAGCTGTTGGGTTGACATTCGTGACTGTAGGAGCTGTAACTGTACTTTCTGAGGCTAAGCTTTCATTTTGGTGCGTTGCAAGCCCACAAAACCTTGCATTTGTCGCCTTTCACTGAGCTGACATCACGGAAAAAGTCACCTTGTTGCGTCTGTTTGGCTCAGTATTTACACACAAGGCGCTCAGATGTGTCCTGCTGATTTGGGTTTGTGACACCCAAAATACGTTTTTATTTTTTGCTAAATGAAAATGCGAACCCAGTTTTACCTACAAAATCGTACATATCAAATTGTAGATCATATATATGACAAGCATGCTGACCCAGTTTTTAAATATGAAATGAGAACTTATGTAATTTCTATAGAAATAGCATGTAAAGTTTTGAAAACTTGTAAAAAATATATATATTCTTAATTTAAAAAGTGCAAATTTTGTATGTCAAATATGTAAGTCAAATATGATAAAACTAAAAAAAAGACATTTTCTCCTGCCAGAGTCAGTATCTGAATTTGAACTAACGTTTAGATAAAATGTAAATACTGTGCAAATCCTCATTTGACTGCTATCATAGTGGCCCTTCATTTGTGGGTCATACGGACCTGCCCAACCTTTGGATCTCTGCTTACAGAACGGCTGAAAGCATTAACACACGTTTGTCTTGCTGTTCTCTCCCCTGTGCAGTCGGCATGGCCAGGCAGTGGCACGACGGCCACTCAGCCTCCGTCCTGTGTGTGGCCGCGTCTCCGGGCCCCGAGGCCCTCCTCGCCTCGGGGTCCGAGGGGGGCGAGGTGACGGTGTGGAGCCAAGAGGGCGCCGTGGTGGGCCGCCTGACTCTGGCCGGGGGAGAGGACGTCACCGGCGTGGCCTTCTCCCCGGCGGCCCCCGGCCCGCTCTACGTCTCGCACGGGGAGGCGGTCAGCGTCTTCGACCCCCGGAGCCTGAAGGGCCCGGCCCAGCGGCTCGAGGGGGCCGGGGAGGAGGAGATCAACGCCGTGGCCCTGAACGAGACGGGCTCGGCCCTGGCCGTGGCCGACGACTCCGGGGCCGTGAGGGTGCTGGAGCTTCCGGGAGGGAGAGTGAGCCGGACTCTGCGCCGGCACACCAACATCTGCTCCTCCGTGGCCTTCCGCCCGCACCGGCCCAACAACCTGGTGTCCGTCGGACTGGACATGCAGGCGAGTGAAGCCCAGAGTTTTAAGTGCTTGCATCTTCTTTTTTTTCTTTATTTTTACCCCTTCCCCTTGTTCTTGTGGCAGGTGATGCTGTGGGGTCTGCAGAAGACCCGCCCCCTGTGGAGCCTCAACCTCCAGGAGGCGGCGGAGGAGGAAGACGATGGCCACCAGAAACCCGGCCAGCTTTTCAACCCGCCGCTGGCCCACTGCGTGTCCGTGTCCAGCTGCGGGAACGTTGTGGGGTGCGCGGCGGAGGACGGCCGGGTGCACCTGATGCGGATCGGCGCCGGCTCCAAACTGGAGCGGCAGGGAAGCCTCAAGGCCCACAGCCAGGGAGCCTCCCAGGCACACTTCGTCGGGTTCCTCTCCCACCCGTACTGGCTCGTCTCGGGAGGAAACGACTGCCGAGTGGCCCTGTGGGACCTCAGCAAGCACCCCGTGGTGGCTCCGGAGGGAAAGGAGGGAGGGTCAGCCCCCCAGCGCCGGAGGGCCAAGAGCAAGGCGTCCAGGAAGGAGCAGTCTCAGGAGAAATCGAAGGCCCGGGGGAAGACGGAGGCTGGGACAGACCAGGCCGAGGGGGGGGGGGGGGCTGCAGCAGCAGGAGCAGAGGGGACAGCCGGGCCCAGGCTGAGCATCAGCCACGGGGACAAGGTGAACTGGCTGTGCCCCGCCCTGCTGAAAGGAGAACCCAGCGTGGTGGTGGCGGACCAGAGCTCTTCTTTGACCGTCTACCCGCTGGGTCAGCTCTAGATTCCTGCACTTTGTGTCCGATTGCTTTTTATTTTTTAACATTGTAGTACTCTGGACTTGGCTAAAACTTTTGGTGAAAGCTTTTCCTTTTTTTCTTTTCAAAAGAAGTATCTCAGAACACACTGGACTGGAGGCATCATTAAGAGATTTTGGCTCTCTCTATTTAAAAAAAAATCCCATAAAGAAGCAATAATCTGCATGTGTGTGGCCCTTTAAAGATGTGATTTTTAAAAAATATGCTTTTGGCTTTTCTTTCTTTTAAAAAAAAAAAAAAAAAAAAAAAAAGGTATTTCCCTAAACCGTTTCCTGGACTGTAAAACCACCACATCTGACAACAGAAATGTGGATCCAGTATTTAACAGACACAGAAGTTCTATTTGCTCAGGGAAATGAAAAGAAAAAACATTTCACAACAGATGCCAGACAGAAATGGGAGCCCTGACTGAGAGCTGCTCCAAAGAGCATTTGGAAACGGTGATACTGCACAGCTCCACATCCCAGTTCCTCTGCGGTTCCACACATGACCTCGTCCTCCAGGGAGTAATAGAGACGCTTTTAAAATTAATGCAAAGCAGCATCTTGGGGTTTTCCCGGCCAACTCGTGATGGAGAACTTTTCTTGCGTGCGTGTTAATGATTTAATCCTGTTTTGTGCCTGTGAGTGATTACAGACTCAATGTGTCACATCTGTTCCGTTCTGATCTGAGATGCCTTTTTCATTTATAACCCAATTCAGTTTCTCAAAGTTAGAACAAATTTCTCCACAGCCAACTCAAATTCACTGCAAATGTACTGTATTCACACACTTTCAAACAAGCATACCATTATTCTGCAAACACATTTCTGGATGTAAACCAGAAGAAAGAAAATAACAAAAGAAAAGAAGAAAGGCACCAGGCAGACAATCCAACTTAATGAAAAAATACAATTCATGCCTGTCAGTGTTTCATAACACGGTCTACAGCTCAGACAAGCTTAAAAATAAATCTGGTGGTGATTCTATTTCGCGAAACTACAAACAAACAGCAGAAGTCTTTGAGCAGTACATTTCCTTTACATGCCAAACGAAGCTTTGCAGAGTTGCACTCTACGGGTCGGTGGAGCAGAACCTGACGAAAGAGCTGCCTCGCTTCTCTTCCACAATCGCTTTTTTAAGAACGTGGGATCAAATGTTCATCTTTTCATGAGTTGCACTGACAGGTCCTGTTGAAATGGAGTTTAGGAAGGCGTGTGTCACCCCTCCTGGGGCTGCTGAGGCGGCGGTGGACGTTCTGATCTGAGGTTTTGCGCCTTTAAGGCGAAATGGTGCTGATTTCATAGTTTAGCCAGGCTCCTCTCCAGACTCTCTATGTCTGCGTCCCCCTCTTCACCTTTGCTGCCCCGAGCGCTGCACTCCAAGAACTCCACCTTCATGGGCAGCTGGCTGAACTCAAAGTCCTTTCCCCTTCTGCCCAGATAGAGGCCGCCACCCATGGAACCATCCTGAGAGCTCAGGGCTGCCGAGCGAGTCACTCTTAAGAAGTTCCTGAGAGACAAAAAGAAATGTTCAGACGTTTATTCTATCCCGACGCTACACGGTCAGCCTTTATTCAGCGGTTAAGAGTCAAACGCGAGTTGTAAACCTCAGATTATCAACACAAACATTTAAAGGAAGCATCTAAAAAGCTGCGTGAGGATTGGAAAGATGTGTGTGTTCCCACATCCTCAATGAGCACGCTCAGTAAACAGCCAAAAGCAGGGCGCTGCTCCACTGTCGTGGGTCTATAGAACCGGCAGGATGTTTATTTCAGTAACATCTGAGCTCAGCTGGAAACCAGCAACTACATAACAGACTAAATGACAAAGACGTCACAACTACTTTCCTCACCAATATGATAAAAACCCAAATAATGTGAACAGACTCATGAGGCATTACCCAAAGATGACAGAATAGGTCGTATTTTCAGCTTTGTGATAAATGAACAACAGCAATATTCACTTACAGTTCCTTCTCCAGCTGCTGCTGAATCAGTTTGGCAGACTTGGCCATGGTGATGTCTGAAAAAAAAGAGTTCAGTTAATAACAGCTGTTTCGTTGGTTCAGATATGCTGAAATGATGGTGAATGAATCATTAGTGGAGGTGCAAAAACAGAAGCGAGTGACGGTTAGGAGTAAATCTGGAAGGAGATTCTTCCAGATAAAGGTGGATGTCAGGCTCTGATCCCATTTTGTAGCTCAAATTAAATTCAGCCAGGAGGCGAGTGCGCGGGCGGAAAATGAAATCAAATGACAAGGGCTCGCTGATCGGATCTTTCGCACTTAACCTTGTTTGTTGCACGCCACCAGAAGAGTCGGGGTGTTTCTGGAGATGACCGCGTCCGTCAGCAGCACATACAGGAACTCTGCCACGTCCCTCACCTCCTTCTGGAAGATGGCGCTGTCCACTACAAACACAATTGCCCTGGAGGGACGGCAGAGAGGTCAGACAAGTAGGCCAAGACGAGCCAAACGCAACAGGTTTGTCTCACAGGCGACACAAATCCACTAATCCCAGCTGTTTGAACAGAAATTCTGATAACCGTAACATCGAGGTGCGACTTAGAAATAACACATTTCCATGATTATTCCCACATTTCTCATGGTTAAAGGGCTGCCCTTCATCCGTTTTAGTTATTGACCCGTTGTGTAAGTGTTAACTTTGACGACACATGTCGAAACAGTCAACTAGAGCTGAACACGCTGATAAACGTGGGGAGGAAGCCGTGTCCTGATCTCACCTGGCGGCCGACTTGAACTTCTCCAGGTATTGGGGACGGAGACTGTCGTGTCCCGGCAGATCTATCAGAGTCCATATGCTGCCCTGAAAGCAAGATTGAGAAGAGACAGTCCTGAGTGGCGTTCCACACAGACAAATAGCATCAAAAGGAGCTTTGCCTCCCTTTACATGGGGGCAGTTCTTCACCCACCCTGTCGGTTTTGGGTTTGTAAGGAGCACTGCTGTCAGTGATGGAGGTCTGCGTCCGCTTAAACTTTCCAGACAGCAGCTGAAAGGAAGAAGAAGATTCCCAAATCACAAGGAGAAGAAATAGAAAACGACTGGCACAAACGGGCTGTCATCATCACGAGCTCCACAACAGACAACGTGGCCGCGGCAGCTCACCCGGCTAAACAGGAGGGTTTTCCCTGAGTCACACAGACCGACCAGCAGCACGGCGCTCCTCACGGTTTTGCTCGTAAGAAAGTACTTCAGAAAAACTGAACATGGGAAAGAAACGGCATATGGTCAGTAGCATGACACCAAGTTTTGCACATGCCAAACAATGCGTGTAAAGTTTGCCCGACTTCCTGTGCTGTGAGGCTGACAGCTGCTGACGTTTTAGCTTAGCAGTTAGCCGTCTATTCTGCTAATTCAGCTATTATCTTTCAATAACAGATACTCTCACTTAAAAAAAAACATTAGGTCTCAAACTCTAGTCGTAAACACCCTTCTGACGGAACCACTGGCCATCTACATAACGTGTACCTATGCTAAGCAACATGCTAGGCCTAGCACGTTAAGCTAACTAAGCTATCCTCTTACCACAGGTGATGACAATCACCGCCAGAGCGACGATTATGCCTATCAGAAAAACGGGGTCCTGCTCTTCAACTTTCTGACGAAGCGACTCAATGTAAGGTTCGAACGGGTTTTCCGCCATCTCCGTGTCTGCCTTCTCTCCCATGTTTCCGCCGGTGTTGTCTGCGCCCATCCGTGCGTTCTGCTGAGGCTGCTCTCAGAAGGGACACGTCTCCTTGTCCATGTAAGGCCTGCGGGCAGCAGGGGGCGCTGCTGAGCCGGGCCGGGCTCAGGCCCACCGGCCGAGGCTGCTCGACTACTACTGTACACCTAAACCCAGCTTTTAATTTGTTTTTAGGGGTTTTCGGAAGGAAAAATTAAAAGATAAAACACGAGAGAAGTCAAAAGCATCTCTATATTTCTATATTGAACAGCAGCATTTAAAACTACAGAAGAAATGCAGCTAAAGCTATGAACCAGGCTGAAAAGGCATATGTATATTCTTGATGTAAATAAGGGGGAGAAAAAAACAAAAGGTGGTAAACAATTACATTTATATTTGATAGTAGCCAAAAAAACAACTTTAAATTTGGCTTTTGTCGTAGGCCCATTGTTTGAATATAATGTATAAAAAAATTTACTGAAAAAATGTCTGCAACAATCATATTTCCTCATTTTAAAGGCGGAAAAAGATAAGTTCTTAATTAACAAACTTGTCACAGATCAGCTGTGAAAAGTATAAACGGAGATCATTCTGTAGTCCGGTCTCAGCATATATACTTTGAGTCCCCGTGGAGCCGTCTGTCCAGCGGTATCAGTCACGGTAATAAACAGAAAACAGACTAAGTGTGCTGGAGCTCTGTTACCATTAATCCATCTCCTGCCATATCGTTCACATTATTCTATATGGAGACTGAGAGTTTGCGGTTTTCGATTAAGAGCAGATGCGTTTTTTACGCACTTCGTCTCCAGCCCGAAGAGTCTGCGCACTTTTTTACGCACGCTGGTTATTTGACTCCACAGACTCCGGCACGATGTCAAACGTCAGAAACTCAAGTTTTTCTATAGGGAGAGGTTGGGTGTCGTTCATGTCGGGTTCTTAGGGGGGGCAGCTTGTTTCTCGCCGAAAAGTAGGAATGGTCTGAGGTCTGCGGTTATCTTGCACTACTAGACATAGATATACTTCCTATCAAAGAGGGATTTACTTGAAAAGCGTTGGTGTCTTTGGACATCTCTGTCAGGGATCACTCAAACGGAGATGATGGCTTTGTCTTACCTCTACACGCTGTGCATGTGGATCCATTTAATGGGACCTTCGCTCGGAACTGGCTTTGTTTATCGCTTTCCAAGCATCACAATGCAGCGACAGCGCCTCAAGTCGGAACAGAGCGGGACCACTGGACCACCAACGACCGGGTCCCGTACCCATCTTAGGTGCGCATGTTCTGTAGAGCTGTAGACAAAGATCAAAACGCACTCTTTGGGCAGTGAATGCCTCATGTGCGTTTTTAGAGATGCTTTATTGCTCACTATCCGGACTAAGTTGTGGTTTAGAAGTGATCTTTACATTTCAGCGTTTAGTTTACTCTCTATCCTGTCATCTTATGGATTCCTTCTTTTTCGTTCTGTCTTTCAAGGAACTGGTGCCAGTATACTGTTTCCAGGACGGTGTCCTGTCAGGTGCACAATGGGACAGAAACCACAGTGCAAAGAGTGTTTCAGGGCTGCAGATGGCCGGGACCATGTGCCAAAGTCATCAGGTACCCCTCAGAGTGACGCTGTCTTCTCCCAACAGCACTTAAAGTCAACAGAAACCGTCTGAGAGTTCATGTTTATTTTCCTGTATACAGTCAGTTGTACAATGTTACACCAGTCCATTAAGAAACCAAAGGGCTCTGGCAAACCACTATAAGTTTAATGAGTATTTTTTAGATTAAGAATGTTGGATGTGCCAGTTCTATTTAAGTTGAACCAACCTATGTGAAAGTAAATGTAAAAAAAAATATGCATGACAGTGTGAGGAGTCATGTTCACAGAGCCCTCTGAGTACGTTAATTAAACCAGTGCCTTTTCTTCTTTCCAGCTACAGGACTGTGATCAGGCCATCCTTCAAAACAGCCTACAAGCAAGTCACAGCTCTGGAGTGGAGATGCTGCCCTGGATTCGTGGGAGATGAGTGTCGTGAAGGTGACTTGTTTTTTTTTCCTCCCTTTCACACGGTTCACAACTTCCTCAAAAGACGAAAGACTAAATAGACTTATCAAAGACTAATTTTCTCAAGGACTTAAACGAAGGGCATTCATTCTGCCTGGGCACATCTGTGTCTTTTTAGCAGCACCAGGCGGTTTTACCCACATCAATGCCTTATTTCTGTCTGCTGGTGTGCATCTGCATAGCTTGCTAATCACACAACAGCACTCTGCCGCAGTGGGTCTCTTGATATGGCTGTAAAGTTTTGTTGAATGAAGACTGAAAGCCTTTGTTTGGTTACGTTTGGGACCAGAATCCGCAGTAAAACGAGAGTTGAAAGGCATCCTGCGCTCTGCGGTTTTGTACCCTTTCCTTTAAGATGCCTCTGTGCCTGGAAGGATTCAAATCCCCATGTCTCTCCCTCTGTGTCCTCCTCTACCTCTATAGGTGTGTCGCTATATGAACATATGCACTCTTTGACTCCCTTTGCAGCTCAGAGTGAGTTCTGCTCGCCCTCCGTTAGTCTCATCATGGCTCTCACAGCCAAAAGAATGAATGGAAATCCCTCAGGGGAACGTCCAGCAGGACGGCTCGTAAAGCGGGTGGCTCTTCTGCAGCGGGCAGCTCTGCTCCTGCAGGCCACAGGCTGCAGACTTTGGGCCAATAAAGACCCAAAGGGTCAAGCCACTACAGTAAGCATGAGGCAAAACGGGAGCTTTTGCCATGATGGGTTTTAAAGATCACTGACGTTAGCAAAGACAGACTGAGGTTGCTGGAGTTATTTAAAATGCATAATAAAATGCAACTGCTTAAACCACTATGCAAAGTCGTTACTATTAACAGTCATTGACTCACCAGGTTAGCAGATCTTCCAGAGGATGGATAATTTATTATTATACCAACGGAAAAACACAGACTTGCTTACATTTGTCCAAGATTAACAATTACCTCAATCAGTGTTTGTTTCTTGTGGGTCATAATTACCACACCTTTTTCCACTTTCCTCTATTATTCATCAGTTTCGCTTGGATGGGCCTTACCAAGCTTTACCCTATTTCTTTTTTCTTTCGCTAATAGAGTAAACACAGACATCATTACAAAGCCTGTGGAAGCCATTATTTTCCATGCTCTGGATATTATTCTGCACAAAGACTGACACGTTGCTGTATCCGCTGGGTGTGAAATGCCAGAGATTATCGTTCACTTGAGACCAAAGTGGTTGAGGAGTGCGAAGGAGTAATCAGCTGTTTATTTAATGTGAGCCGAAATGTGTTTGTGCTCTCTAATGGCCGTAGAGCAGCGAGGTAATCGCCTCCATATGGAGATACAGAGGGCCAGGTTGGGCTCCATGAGGAGACCTTAAAGACAGAGGCTGATGTCACTGGCAGTCCGTTTGACTCGGAGGGGCGGAGGGAGAGCTGGTGGCGGTCAGTGTGTCCGAGTTTTTTGCGACAGAAGGACCGGACACCAAGGGAAGATTGGTAATGTGTACTTTATTTAGAAAAGAAAAGTCATATGTTTTGTCCCACCAGTGTCCAGTCGCTGAAAGCTGGGGAGACGGCAGCATAGCGGAGAGGCCATTCTGTGGGAAAGTGGCCCCACTGAGATTAATGAGCATGACACTTCCTCTTAGGGTCTTTGTAGCCTACGTGAGCGTGATGACATCCGACTCCAGCTCCAAAACAAAAACTATTTCTTTTCTTATACTTCTTAATATATGCCAAATTTCCTTTTATAATTGGACTGATAATTAGACTTCCCCAAAAAGTCCTTAAACCAGAACAGCCACTTGAAACAACACTGTCACACTTTGTTTATTTATCAAAGTTTTTTTCTCCTGTCGTCTTTTTGTGACAGAATTACTCGTGTCTTTGGGGTTGTCATCATTCCGTTGAGTTTCAGCTGGCTGACACATGTCAAGACGTTTTCTTTCAGTGTGCCATTATCAATGATAAGCTTTTTCAGTCCCCGATAGAAGGTAAAGTCCCAAATCACGACTACACCACCTCCATTTATTTCAGACGGGACGAGCTTCTCATGCCGGAGCGTAGTGTTTTTCCTTCATATTTAAAATTGAAAGTTCCATTTTGTTCCTATCCATCAATAAAAGCGCGTCGTTCCAAAAACCTCTCTGGCTCGTTCATGCGATGTTTAGGAAACTGCAGATGGAAAACTATGTTCTTCTTGGCCGTCTCCTTGCTCTGCGCACCATCGCTGGTCAGTGTTTTGCTGATGGACTCTTACTCATTAGACAACATCATGCACATTATTTACAAAATACGCATTAGCTGACAGTTTTGGCTGATAACAGAATTCTCAGACTGTGTTTGTGCGTTAGCTTTTAGGGTCTTCAGGTCAACACTGAAAATGCATTTCAGTGTAGCTAAAATCTGCTGCAATGCAGGCTTCCAGCCAGCTGTTTTATCAGCAAGGGAGAGGACAGCCTTAACCAATGAACATGACATCACTTCTGGTTTTAGTTTGACGGGGTTCTGGCTCCACTTCAGAGGCCCCCAAGGCTCTCAGATATGTAACGACGGAGAAGGTAAAGAAGGCCAGAGTCAGAGTTAAATCTGTGTAAGCTGAGGAGATGTTTGCTCCTCTTAGCTCTGCGCGTTCTCGTGGTTTCATCTCCCAAATCCTGAATGTTTCACGACCATGGCTAAAGTACAACTTCTGTAACCGGTATCCTTTCTCGGATTACAGCAGGAACAAGAAGACTTATGGCGTGGAACATTTTCATTATTTCTGGTCAGCTGTGATTCAAGAAATCGGATTTCAGACGTTTTTCTTTGGGCCTTTGATCCAACTGATGCTCCACAGGTCCACAAACATACTCAGAAGTCAAAGGTTCAGTTAATTGAACTGTCAGTTGACATATGACATGTAACATATTCACTTCAACATTTTTTATGATTGATTTTACTTCACCAGTTTGGTATGATTAGCTTAATTCCTTTTGTTAAAACCTGAACAAATAATCAGGGAAATAATTCCCCCTAAATATGACATTTAGAACTTTAAATTAGACAAATCTGATAACCTGTGCTGTATCAACCATTAGGTATATTTTTAGAGTATCTGCACTTTTTCATGTCCTCTGGTGTGTTCTCTGCTTTAGAGCTAACAACGCTCTGAAAAACCAGAATGTTTGTGGCCGATCTGGTCTTTGAGCCGGCATTTTTGTGTGTTTGCTAATGGAAAATGGGTGTTTTCTGCACACTTTGCGCTGACACCCTGACCCGTCTATACTTTTGACAGTCTGGTTAGCGCTGGCTGTGCACCGTGGATCTCTCAAGCTTTTACATTTAGCTTTCAGCGGAGTTGTACTAACACATGACGGCATGGAACACATTTGGGAGAAATGTGTTCGTAATTTCCTCGCTCCCCCCCGCCCTGTAACAGTTGCACCCCGGCACCTATCTGCACACATGATCATATTGACTGGAGGGATTGTGGGTATCATGTGTTTTAGGGGGAGCAATCTGAAAAAGATCAGTGCCAGGACCCCCTTTTATGGAAGAAGTGACTTTTGATCTCACGCTTAAACGTCGGAAACGAAGTTTAACAAGTTTATCGGAGGATGCACAGGACTTTTTCTCTTTCATATGTAAAATTCCCAATGATTTTCATTCGAGGCAGAAAAGTGACTTAAAGCCTAGGATGTCAAATGTGCTAATGTGTTAATGCTGCTGCTATGAAGCTGCACAAGTCACCGTTCCCTCTGCAGCTGCTTTAGAAGGAAGTGAGGGAAATCTGCTGGGGGATTATCGCTTCGGCCGGCTTTATTATATACCACTCAAAAATACCTTTGAGTTTTTCCATTCTATCATCTTCTCTCATCCCCCTTCAGGCTTTTAGTCTTTTGCCCTTGCTTTTCAAGCCGCTGCTGTGCTCTTTATCTTCCACACTCCTCGCTGCCCTCCATTTATCTGGCTTCCTACGTCCTTTAGATCTCCCGCTCTGCTCTTCTTGCAGTAAAGTGATAAAACAGAACCGTATCCCACATGTGCTCCTGTAGGCTTCAACCTGTGGTGTGAGGATATGATTGATGTCTCTGTTACATCCCGGCTCGTACTCGGATATGGGTCAGAGGTCGTCCTCTGACCTGCGGGGATCTAGGGGACCTCTCTGCTGCTGCTGCTGCTGGCCTGACCTGCCTGATGGATGATGCTTTGTGAATTCTCCTTTACTGTTTTTTTTTTTTTCATCTGCTTATCAGCTGCTCTTCCTGCTCCTCGGTGATGTCTTTCCATGTAGCTGTCGGTCTATCCCTCGAAAACTCCACACATGTTTTCATGGAGGTACAGTCCCTAAGGCAACTACATTAATGTTTCTCAGCCAAGAATAATTGCACAAATGCCAAACTTTTGTTAAACATTTACAACTTTTTAACATGTTTCGCTGCCCTTAAGTCAGACATGAATAAAATCCTCATACTTTGTTAGAAAATTAATATCTCTATCTTAAATCTAATGGTTGATTAGAAATTAACTTGAAAAAGTCATGGGATCATCAAAGCCAGTGGGAAATACACACACAGACACACATATATTCACGACACCATTTTTAGACATTAGGGTTTATTTAGCCACAAATCATGAACAAATTGTGAGATCTAACATTGTTGAAGCTGGGACTGACCATAGAATTTCCCCTGTATTCTTCACAGGTACTGTATTTTCAGCTTTGTAGAGGCACTCAGGTAGATTCATGCAGTATCTCACACATGCATTTGCAGTCAGGAATCTTCTACCCCTTTATTTTCCAGCCTATGTCTCCACCCTTTTCATTCTCTCCATTTCCTCAGATGTGGTCAAAAAAGACATTGTAACCCAAACCGACTGTTGGTCCATACTCAAAGAAATGCACAGAGCATCATCTCATAGCATGACGATGACTTTATGTCTGTGCACCAGTGGGATCATCCATCTCTAGCTGTGAGTGATGCGAAGATAACATTTCAGCAGCAGAGCCGCAGTGCTGGCTGAAGGGCAGCTCGATGCAGCATGATGGGTTGAGTAGATCCAGAGTCGCAGCCTGAGGAAATAACAAAGAAATGATATGTTGTCTCCATTTGGAAGACATTCAGCGGGGACGCTTTGTCATGGCTACAACTGCTGAGAAGCAGTGGTTTGTAAAGAGGGACGTCCGGCTCGTAGCCGCGCGCTCCGGCTTTGCTCGATTATTTTTGTCAAACGGCATTATGCGCATTTCTTACTTACAAAGTGCACAGCTGAGATGAAGGTGTGTGGCCTGGGAGCTTTCATCATGCTGAAAAATGCTAAACGGTCCCACTGTGCACAACTAGAAATGTTTTTTTTTTTTTTTTTAAAACAGCTTCATTCACCGTCCTGAACCAGCCACTGCGGTCAGACTGGGTGTGTGATTTAGCGAGGTAGAGTTAGTGTCTGGACAAGTGTGTGTGTGTGTGTGTGTGTGCGTGCTTTGTGCCAGCTGTTATTCATGCCAGCAATTGCTGACCACTTGCTGGCAGGGGCAAGCGCACAACAGGCCTCTGGGACACTTCCAGCTCTGGAAGGTTGTCTGTGGTTTTCACACACACACACACAAGCACACACAAACACACACACTCATAGACACTACTTGCGTGCGCACACAGACGGGCCACACACTTGTTTGTTTCTTCTGGTGATCTGACAGCAGTGCTTCGCATGGGCCAAGAAGATGTGTCAATACCTCATCCTTTTCTTACCCCTCAAACACAGACAGAACAAACATTTAGTGGCATTGAAAATGACAGTCCCACACTGTGTGCGTCATGGTTTGTTTTATGGTTGCGGTGTTCTCGGTGGATATATATATTCTAAATGTGTGCGTGTGTGTGTGTAAAAAAAATAGTAAAATAAAGTCAGTTCTTTGATCTAAATCCAGGCCTAATGTAGGAAATGTATCTGTCTCAGCAGACTTTGCCCACAGTCTGACTTACATGGTTGCCAAAATATCCTGTGCTGTCTTGTCTTGTAGATCACACAATAACAGCAGGGATGATTTGTTAAGCTGGGTTTTTTGTAGTTTCCCTCAGATGGAAACTAGAGTCTTTTTTTGTTCTTCTGATGTCAAACCAATATTTATCTAACTGAAGTGTTTTTCCACGAGAGGTTTGATCCAAACTGTCGGCCGTCTCGTGCCTCACGCTGTTCAGTTTCTCAGCCTTAACACTTGAGCTAATCACAAAAGGCTAAAACCAGCCTTCATACCAGGGTAGGGTCATTCCTATGAAGGAACATTACCCAAAAGTCCAAAGTCTTCTGTTTTAGTGCAGCGTTTAAAAGTTTGAATTTGGGAAACGTGAGGAAAAAAATGTGTCTCTACATAATTTTAAAGGAATTTGTTTAAATATCAGACAAGACGTGGCTTGAGAATATTTCAAAAGTGGCTAAAACACACAAAGTCCTCAGACTTGTTGAAGCAGAAAAATTCATTGTTTCTTTTTCTGTTTATTTAGTTTCCCACTAAAGACTACACGGTCCTGAATCTTTCCCATGAGTTGTGTACAGTCCAAGAAAAACAACCCTGTCCAATGTTTCTATGCTGTAATTATGGATCCAAACAGACTCTATAGTTGCGGTACCGTTCTAAACATCTCGAGCGCAGCGGAAGTTTGGTTTTCTAACCCAGCATAATTAAATTCCAACTGTAGAGATGAAATCCTGCCCACCATCTTTGGAAAAAAATACACTGCCCTGGTTCACATTCATGGTGGATTAGTTCTGGCGTTTTCCAGCAGTGTGTGTTTATGACATAACAAGATAAAGTGGTCCATTTCTGTCCCTAGTTGGACATGAGGCCAGGACGAGACTGGTCGGTTAATTAGATTAAATTAGATAGATTATTTAAGATGCTTCCCTGCTTCAACACAGCTGATTTAGAGTGAAAAGATCTCTTCAAAAGATTGATAAGTCCCTCCATGGGGCAATGATTTGAGTCAGGTGTGTTAAAGCCGGGAAACATCGAAAACCTTGTTTTTTGGGGGGAGTTTGAGACCCCTGCTTTAAGTGAATGGTGGTAATTTCCACATCTACAGTGTTGTCACAAGCACTGAATTCATTGTGTAGAGAGACAAAAGCTGAAAATGACGTGAATGTGCAATGCTCAGCATCTGTAGACATAATCACTATCACCCCTAAGTTCAGTGTCAGGTGGCCCCAGACTGATAAAGTATGATTCTTGTTAAGTTTTCAGGTTTCCTTCAGTTCCTTCACCCCAGCAACAGAAGGAAATGGAGCTCAAAAGCAAAAGTTTCCTAAAGAGTGGGGCCGTTGGGAGACTAGAGCTAAAAAAAAGACTAACGTAATGGTGTCATAAAAGGGCCAGTTTCACAAACAATGGTCATAAACTACGTAAAAAGTTACAGGCTAAACTGCAGAGCTCCAAATAAGCAGAATAGTTCTCAATCAGCTAATGTTTTGTGTCACTTCTAACCTTTCCTCCTTTGCACTAAATAAGCGATAAACCATCTGAGGGAAAGGTTTAGACCGAGTGATCTTTAGAGCTGACAATGGTGGCACAGTTGTTACAGTTCCTGTAGGGGGCTGGGGGACAAATATGTGTACTGGATTTCATGGCTATCTAGCAGCTGTTAACATGTTTTCCTCAAAGTCACAAATGTCAGCCTCCCGGCGCTGCAGGAAAGGCTGGAAACCAGAGTCTTAAAGCAAAGTTTTATCTGGAAAAGCGAAATACCCCAAGAAAATTTAGTGCCAGCCCGATTTATGGTTGTTGAGATAAGAGTCTGGCCCTGCCGTCCTAACGCAGACCGCGATGCTCTGCTAGTTAGGGCAGAAGCGTCATGTCAGCACATCATAACAGAACAACTCTTGGAATGCATCACAGATTGATACACTGTCTTACAGAGAGGGAATGTCAGAGGGTGGAGACTTCCTTTGGGCTCATGATGAATAACTGGGAGAGAGACGGACGTATATCATCTCGTCGGCCCTCACATCACGGAGGCCCGGACTGCCCGCCATCCCTGTCCTCAGAGGGGGAGAAACCTCGGTGCCCTAGGCCACAACTAACAGATCACGTGGGGCTTTTTCGGTGCTCGGGTTGAGGAATCCGAAAGGAATTTTGTTTGAGATCGAACCGTTGATTGTTGTGGCCGCTCTCCAGGGCGAGATTAGAAACGCAGAAACAAAGCACGGCCTGACCACACCCACGCTGGACGGGACGCAGACGGGGCACGGACGCCCACCCCGTCCCTCTGCAGGGAAACAGAAACCTCAGCCTGTGCGCCGTGGTCTGAGACGGCAATTTTTAGGCAGACCAGAGCTGTTTGGGTCATTTTTTGTTGTCGCTCCAGTTATTTATGAGCACCAGTTGCTCCTTGTTATGGGCATCCCTGCTATGACCGCAATGTGGGTGGGTCCCATCTGTGAGACTGACAGCTGACATTCCTCTCTCCTTATGGGCCGTAGACCGGAGGAAGGTTCGGATTTAGAACAAATTCTGGGTTTTCTATTCAGTTAGACACATAGGCACTTTTGGATGGCGCAGCTAGAAATGTACGGGTAAGTTTATGTGCGGCTTAGCAGTGGTTAAAGTGGTATCATTTCCAGGAGAGAGGTGGTCAAGACATGATGGTTACCCGAAGACAAGAATGTCATAAAAACATACACACATAAACATCTTCCAGGTGCTAATTAAAAAGCAAATGAATATGAGCCACCTAAAACAAACCCTTTAGATAAATCAAAGGCATTTTGTTTGACCAGATTCCTTTTTGGAGAGTTGCCCATGTTGTCGAACCCATTGGATGCTATCTTGAGTTTTCTATTTTTCCTCCACATCATTTGTTCCCGCAGCACTTTCGATTTCTCGTGGTCTTTTTCTTTTTTTGCTTGCTGTAGCTTGCAGCTGGTGTCAGTGAAGCTCTAAAAACTACACCTGTTCTGCAGCAAATGACAGACACACCATTTCCAGGACTTATTGACCACCACAGTGGAGAAGTTGTTTTTTCTCTCGTGTGTTTTTTCTCTTATGTAGCAGAGGCCAAAAACGTTTTTAAAAAAAGGGATTATTTATCTCACATTCAAGAAAACAGATCATTATGTTGCTGAGAATCATTTAAAGCTTGCAGTACGTTAACATCAAGCCATTGTTCCTTTTTCCAGAAAGAGGATGCCAGAATGAATTTCTTAGAATGAAAACAAATTCATTCATATAATCATTACAGGATCTTTTTAGACAGGTTGATCATTTGTGGAATAAACTATGCCAGAAGAAGTTGTTTCCTTGAAATCCTGTCCTAAGTCAATGTTTATGTTAAGACTGTTAACACACATACAAACTTTAATTGTTCCCAGACCGCCATATATCTCTCTTATATGGATGCATCTCCTGCATTCCTACTTTTTACGAGTCAGTGTGAACTTTTTGCTGGTTCATCTGGAGGATTGTGTTCAACCCACCAAACTGTGATGCTTTCTTAATTCTGTGACATACGTCAGGAAAATGTTTTGCTATGAAATAATCATTGCTGCTGACAATGTGACTCCAAAAATCAGGATGCAAGTTCATCTCTCTACTGGATCCAAGTCTGTTTATTTATTTAAAACTTTCGTATATTTGAAAATTTGCCCCTATGGTCAAACCACTCCACATGGTTCTGATTTGTTTAAGCCATACTCTTCAACTGGGAGATTATTAGCTGTTCCCCAGACCCGAATTAAAACCCACGAGGATCGTTTTCATCAAGCAGCTGCAACTCAGCTATGAAAAGACCTTTTTTATGTTGTTTTAATTCCTTTAAAAAGCTATTGTAGGCTGTTTTTGATTAAGAAAAACCGTTACACAGTTATATTTTTTCATGCAATTTGCCATCTTGAAATGTTTATTGTTTTTGTCTTTTTGTTATTGTGAAGATATATATATATATGAAGGAGGATTCTACATGTGTATGTGTGTGTTAGGGTTTGTGTGTTTCATGAGAAGTCTAATAATATTTACTCTGCTGTGAGTGAATGACATGATTTAAGGAGGAATTCCTCATAAATAGCGAGGTGTGGTTTGATGGGTATTGTTCTTGTGTATCTTGGCTCGACTTGCCCTGTGAGAGCAGACACCCGGCTAATGGTGCCAGGATGAAAACAGGCGTACATTAAAGACACCCAACCGAGACAGAAAAGAGATGAAGGATGGCCCATTTTAAACTCACGTCTTTGTTTTTGTTTTTTTACAGAGTGTATGAACTGCACCGGTTTCAACGACATGACCGGCAGAATAAACGCCATCGAGTCAAAGGTGAGAGCAACCTGCCTGCTCCTTCCCACTAAAACAATCTGGCAAGAGTTTCTAAGGACTTGTACACAGACAGCTTTATTTTTGTGTGTGTAATCTTTTGCTCTGGTTCCAGATCAAACTGCTAGAGGAGGGGCGCTTACCTCTGCCAATGGTGCGTCTACCGGAGGGATCAACAGAAAATGAAGTGGACAGACCTCAGCCCACTCCTATGGGACCACCATCTTACCTGCCATCAGGTGCTAAAACATGTTTGTGGTATGAGGAGCAGAGATGTTGAAGTTGTCCTCATAGAAAAACCTAATAATAGAAGGAATACATGTACAGAATCAAGATTAATGTGAGATTTCAGGGTATAGCTCTCCACCATTTAATATCAAGCATGTTTCAATTAGGAAATTAAGAAATCAAATAGAAAAAAACATAAAATTAATAGTAACATAGTAATTAGTTGGACAAAACATCAATGGAAAATACCACTTCAACCATTTAATGTTTGAACAACTTTTTCTATTAAAACATAAAGTGATTCAACAAACAAACAAACAAACTGAAGAGAAAAATGAACATTTATTGAGTGAATGAGTTACTGACAATCTAAAATTAGCCAGTAACCTTTTGTATAATTGTACATTGATTTGTTGAGTCTGACTTGGCTTTGATATGTGGATAGCTTTGTTTATTTGTCCACCTGCATATTAAACTCATGAAGAAATTGTGATAGTATAACAATAATTATTTTCAGCATGACAGTTGTAATCAGATCAGAAATACTTTCAAGTATTTGTACATAAGTACATACAAGTACACAGTTTTGGGACATTCTTTATGCCACGAGCATCAACTCTTTGTTTAATTTGACTTTAGACTTACTCTTACATACTGCAGTACCAGGAGCCAGAGGACCACCAGGACCTGTTGGACCTCCAGGGCTTCCAGGTTCTGCTGGGCCTCCAGGTTTTGTTGGAAGACCAGGCCTTCGAGGACCCATTGGTAAAACACAATCAACCTTTTCTGTCTCATCTGCTCACTCGTTGTTTTGCGGAAAATGCTCTTGACGAAACATCATGGTTGTTTAACTTGACAAAACTGATTGCTCCGTTCTTATTTTTTCATTCATGCTCAGGACCAAAGGGGGACATGGGTCCTACAGGAGAGATTGGTCTTCCGGGCCCTCCTGGTCCACCAGGTCCTCCAGGGCCAGGTTCCTCTCCTGTGCAAATCAGGGGTGATGTTTTCCACGTCAACCATCAAGGTGAACATTGCATCCTTCTATTTTCTAAACTTTCCTAATGCTGATCAGAGAAGCAGGGTGATGACGTCCAAGTAGGATGAGACTGTACCCTGAGCAGGCAAACGTGCTTACACTCTCACATTCGCCCCTCCAGTCAATATAGAATCCAAGGTAATCTTATCTCATCTCAAATTATTATTTTACAGTAATGTGGAAGTAAATTGTCCCAGATGTGCTCAAATGAGAACATAATAGAAGTTGATCTTGAACACATGGTTAAATTTTGACCCATGAGATGTTGTAAAACCATTCAAGAATTCGGTTTTTAGATGATCAGGGCTGGTGCCAAAACCACAAAGTTTTTCACAGTTCATATTAAGATGAGTCATTTGCTTCGCACCCACACATCGAGTGGAAAATGTTTATTACTAGAAAATCACTTTGTCAGGCCGAGCTCATTAATACAGAGAGCCTGAGTCCACCTGGTGTCTTTGTATCAACAGGGGGACAAGTGGAGGCGCACAGACTGAAACATGCTGTAGCTTCTCATCAAGGACTTAATTCTCTAATGTCTCTGTTGCCTGCGCACGCCTGGCATAGATTTAGTTTAATTGTTTCCGCGTGTTTGTTGCTGCTGAGCCACTGTGTACTACAACCTCAATTAACACAACCGCTGACGATTGAGTCGAATGGCCAAGTATAAATCACTAGATTGGCTGTGGGTGCTTTGAAAAGACTGGATCAAAAATGTGTTAGCGCGGTTTTTTATTTATTGTTCCGGATCTACCACAGCCTCGACTCTTTGTCCGTGGAGGTCTTTGTGATTAAACTTTTGTGCAGAGCGCTGATAGAGACTTGCTCTCACACTGTCTGTTATGTCTAAATGTTCCCATCTTTTGAGGCATAGAGGATGGGGGAGCGAGCCCGGATAGAGAAGCCTTCACATTCAGTACTTGAGTTTCACCACAGGGAGGCGGTAGGAGTCTACGGCTCATTACCTCATGAGGCCTGCTGGCTCTGATTAAGCTTTTGGCTGCGTTTGCCTTTCTGAGCCCGGGACTGTGTCTGCGGGTCTGGAGCTATGTAGATTTGGGTCTGTGGGACCATGTAAGCAGAGGGGGGCCAACTGGCTGTAAATCAGGCCTAATTTGTTAGCTGTCAGCACAACAGTCTGCGTTCTGGGGGAACCGGCCACGGCCCAGAGCCAAGAGCTGGGCTGGCTTTGAACGAGGGAGGAGATAGACTGCCACTCATGTGAAGTTTCTCGGGGAAGCAGCCAGGCTCGAGGAGACTGTAGCATTAGAAAATTAGTTCCAGAGGGAAATCTGCTCCTTCTAGACCCTTTCTGTGGACTGCAGCCATAATGTAACAGTGCTGTCTCAACATGGGGGAAGACTGACACCGAGCATATGTTCATGTGGTGAGGAAAGTGTGAGGTGGTTTCAAAGTAGATCCGTACTTACAAGTGTAAGAAGAAATACCCTACACGCTGAGAACAAGACATGGCTTCCCCCTTGTTTCACGTTTTCTGTGAAGTTTGATCATGTTTCACCATTTCCTGTCCAACGGAATGGCACGACCTTTAGATGAACCACCTCTGCTGCCACTCACTGTCAATCTGAATTGAGTCCAGCTATTGAAAACTGATTAAACTGATATCTCACTGTGATCCTCTGGATACCATAAATATTCTTTTAGGACGAAAGACCAGTCCAGTGTAACATAGTCTCCAGTAGTATAGCTCTATGAGAAACACCTGCTATAAAGGTCTTCATGTCTTGGGACATAATGAGGAAATAAGAGTAAACACAACCTTTAATGGACGACAGACTGAATGAAAACAAAGCCAAAATGTAAGCTACTAACTGTCAAGCACGGTGGCAGAGGGCTGATGATTTGAGCTTGTTCTGCCAACACACTCTGCTCCTGCCTTTTGTTTTCATTCAGTGTGTTGCTCATCTGTGAATGAATTTACCTACTTTGAGACTTTAGGATCGAGACAGAACTTTGTTTTCCTTGAGGGATTGTAAATGTAATCCCCCCCCACACCCCCCCAAAAAAATTTGAAAGGCAAATTTGAAAACCAAGCAGAGATTTCACAGTCATGCACCAACTAAAAGTAAAGTCTGCAGCTCCCTATTCAAAGCAGCAGAAGGGATGGAGTGCCGTCGGGTTTTCTGCCTAACATTTAATTCAGTCAGGCCATACTGGTGAGGGAACACTGACATTTTTCTTCACAAATATATAAGTGTGTGCAATGAATGTTTGCCGACTCACTGCGGGTTAGGGCTTAAAAGTTTAATTAAAAGCAACCTACTCGGGGATTTCTGGCAGAGTTGCGGAGCTGAATGGGTTTGTGTACTTACAGCCTATTACAAAATGTACATGAATGTGTGGCAACCTTTCACTGTCTGAAGCAGCAGTTACATTCTTATCTTTTCCTCTGAGTGGATTTAAACTTGATTGCCAGATTATTAAGTAAACCTGGGAAAAACAAACACAGAATCACTTTTAGATCGTCTATCTGAAATTTGTTTGGCTAAATATCAGGAACTTATTAGAAAATAGAAAAAAAGAGATTGCATACCCCATGAGGATGTTCCTATTCTACAGGACGTCTAGTGGAATGCATTCATTCAGCTGGTATCTGTGCATTCAAGTCTGTCCATCTTGTAATGCCCAGGCTGAATGAAGCCATTCAATCCTAAAAGTAGAGCTCTGTACTTGTTTATAGACACATCAGAGGATGTAGCCATTTTATTCCAAAGAGCTTGTAAAATGGTTATGCATTGTAAAAGCACTCCGTGGGAAGCTTTAGCAGGAAGCAGCAATACAACTTAAACGGCAATGATGCAATGACAATTTTTAAAAACTCATTAGTAATATGCCCGCTGTTGATTCATGAAATGATCCATCATTGTGTTTAATTAAAACAGTAAATGGCTAATAACTTCATATCAATTAAATCATTTGACTCCAGAAGGACGTCATTCAAATTTCCACATCGTTTACAGTGAAAATATTTGCATAGCTGCTTATCAGGATGAGATTTATTACAGCAAAACGTTGTCTAAATTTGGAAATGTGTCTCATTTGCTACTGATGCTTATTGGCTTATTGCTTAAATCTGTTTTGTCTTTCCTCAGAAGAGGACCCTGCCTCTCAGATCGTGGTTGGTCCTCCCGGTCCAGCTGGTCCTGTTGGTCCTTCAGGTACAAATATGAAAGCAGCACAGAATGTCTGCACTTCAGAATGTAGCATACCATTAGACTATGGATGCATAATTGAACGTCCAATGAGATAATTGCTTTGAAAAGAAATATATAAGGGAGAATTTCAATGAGTAGGTTCAAGGCTAGCTTGTAAAGTCTGATGACCCCTTTCAAGCACCATATGCTCTGAGTTTAGTTCAGTTTGTCTGAATCTGGGTGTGGCACATCACCAACTCTCTGTGTTTGGTTTGTAAATGACATTTTAAGGTGTCCCGGGAGAAAGAGGACTTTCAGGAGCACCAGGTCTGCCAGGACAGGATGTGAGTTATTCATCACTGCAAGTGGATTCTTCTTTGATATACACGTGCATTTTAAAATGTTATCACCAATAACTGCCCCTTTGTTTGTCTGAAACAGGGCAAGGAAGGTCTCCCAGGCAGGCCTGGCATTCCTGGGCCCAAGGGAGATCCAGGGGAAAGGGTAAAAACCCTACTCGTTAATGGATTATCATGCTGGCTGAACATATTTAATGCTCATGAACTATCAAAATGCTTTTGGTTCTACATTTTGTAAATGGCCCTAGCTGTCATGCAATCTTAAACACATTAAAGGTGAACAAGCTTTTCTTCAAAGGCTCACTCCGAGCCGTGACTAATCCGCCTCCCTTTCTCTCTCTCATCCGAGGCCAGGCCTCGCTAATCAGGGCGCCCGTGTCGCGTCCCCTCTGTAGTCCGCTCTCTGTCGGGCCTCTGTCTTTAAACCTGAGCCCTCTCCTAGCATGATTTTAAATTGGAGATCTGTTGAAAAAGGCAAATTAGCTCAGGGGACGAAAATAAAATCAAGCCTTTAAAATATCTGTGTGTGTGAGCAGGAGCCTTTAGTTATCCTTCCATGTCATTTCTCTGGCAGGGCACCCCAGGTGGGACGGGTGAGCAGGGCTTTCCTGTAAGTATCGGCCTTACTGTGCAGCATGAGACGCACACACAACACAGAAATGATCATGTTCTTCCCTCACAGGGAGCACCAGGGGCCAAAGGAGAGCCCGGAGTGGGCTTGAGTGAGGTAAGAGGCATTCCTGTCCCCCATGAGCTCATTTGAAAAATTGTCCCTGATACACGTGACCTTTTTTTTTTTCTTCTATCAGGGTGAAGCGGTGCAGCAGCTCAGGGAGGCCCTGAAGATCCTGGCCGAGAGGGTCCTGATCCTGGAGCACATGATCGGCATTCACGGTGAGCAGAAAAAGCAAAGGGGAAATTTTTAGAAGTGCTGTCGGGAGCAGCTGGATTTTGTCACCTGTGACCAACCGTTTCCACTCTGCTGGCTGTTTCTTTACATGACGCCAGATGCCAGGAAACAAACTAAATGTCCCAATGTCCAGCTCCTGTAAAGCTGGTTCTGAGGAAGAATGCCTCATTGCTGATGGTTTTTCTGTCTGTCTTTACACAGAGAACACGGAGGGATCTGGGTTTGGCGGCATTGCAGATCCGCTGTCCTTCTCCGGCCTGAAGACTAAACGGCGTCAGCCTGTGCAAACCCTTCCTCAGGCTCCGGAGCTGAGGGATAGACAAAGACGGGTGCCTGTGTAAAATCATTTCAGTCCATATTTACATCTGTTTTTTAAAATTTTTTATGATTATTTAGGATGTTGCAAATCTTGCATAACTGGACATACAGGTTTTTGTTTGCATATTTGTTCCTCGTACATTTCTTTTTCACGTGTATTTTTGTTTACCTGTCGTCTTTGACACGAACCAGTGCTGTTGTGAAAGTGAAGACGTTAGCAGAAGTGAGATGTGGAGCGTTTCGTCCACACAGAGAGGATTTACTGAATCCCTCGCCCTGTTGCTGTGTGACCTTAGCCGCAGAGCCTACACGGTGTTGTACAAAGAAAAATCATCTCATAAAGTGTTATAAGGTTTTTGGCATCTTTTATTTGTCAGATAAAAGACTGCCAGGTAAAGGCATCAATTTCCTTGACTGATGCTGCAGAGCTCAGTGTTCTGGAGAGCCGGACTGAAAATGTTCCTTTCTCGAAAACGACCTTGAGGATCATCCCGTGTGCCTGTCAAATAAATCTCTGCTTCTCTTCGTCTCCCCGGCCCTCCATGCACTCCTTCATGCTAATGCTTCAGCAAGAGGCTTCCAAGAAAATCTCTTCAAAATTAAGTTAAACGAAATGAGTAGCATCTGGAGAGAGCACATCTGGAAAGGGAAACCGAAAAAGATGCTGAAACAGTCGAATTTCAGCCCAAAAGCGGCGAGATGTGCTCAGCTCCTAAACCTGACAGGACCACGCTGACATCTTTAGTAAACTGCCCCCCAAGATTTCTTTTGAAAATGATATGATTATTGTGTAATAAGTTTCTGAGAGAGCCATCCGTCGGTTTCTGAATAAAGCTCCCCTCGTGTCTTGTACAATCTTTGTTTTCTCCATTTCAAGCTTCATCTGTCAAACACACGTTAGGAAAAACGTGAAAATGCCTTCTTGCCGTTACAGTGGACGTCTGTACGGTTATTCGCTGTACCCTAAACATGAAGCATGTTTAGGGTACAGAAAAATGAAAAATAGCTCTGGCGACATCAAGGCCGTGTCCATATCATACCAGACAGACTGACCAAAAATGGTCTAAAAAAGAGTTTAATTCTGATCTGATTACCTATCAGAGTTGGGCATAGGAGGACTTTTTTCTAAATCTGTTGTAAGTAGAATGATTGAAATCTCAAATCAAAATCTAACAATGTTACAGAGCATGTTACAGAGGATGATTGTGTACTTTTGGCCTTGTGGAATAACAAAATTGCTAGCGACTTTGGGAACAATACGAGAGCTTTTTGATGCACATTTTCAAGTCTTGTATGATTTAGGATTGAATTTACCTGCTGACAGCTCAACCACATATTAGAGCACCCCTCTGCTCTCTGTAGCATTTGGTGAATGTCTGGATCTGATTTTAAAAGCTGAGGGACTTCCATTACAATATGATGTTCGCTGGGAATCATTATGGGATGAAACACAGGTTTCTGACAGAATCAATAAAAATCAGAGAGAAACGCTTCCGAAAGTCCTAATGGGAACCAAAAGTTGTGTGAGATGCAACCGGTTGCACTTTTGAATTGCAGCTCTTGTTACGGGATGGTGAGGTTTGAGAGCCTTTCACTCACGCCTTTGATCCCATGTATGATCAGCCCATCCCACTGTCAAGTAAACAGTATGAAACCTTAAAAAATCATATTCAATAATCAATACAACAAAGGTAATGGAAATATTTGAGGTGATTGTCGATGCTTTTAACAACTTAGCACAAAATCCAGTTACTTGTTTCCGGTGCTTTTCTGAAAGTCCCAGTTGGATTATTAGCATTCATTTCATTATTGTACACATAGACTGGTTCATGAAAATCCTTAATGTCCTATGTTTCTGCCACCTGTAGAGCTGAAAAACAACACAAAGCACAAACTTTGTTTCAGTCATCTTTGAGAAGGCATTTGTGAAACTTTACAGAGTAGATTATTTCTTGCATTGACGGTGGCAGGAAGATTGTAAGGGATCATTTAACCTAGCGCGTCCTTACACACTGAGCACAAAAGCTTCATCCAGACGAGGTTATCCACATGCAGAGGTTTGCTCTTACCTTTCTGCTCCCCTTCACTTTAGCTCTGTTCTGTTGCTGTGATGATCACACAACGCGAGTTGTCATTTTTTATGATTTTTAAGAGGTTCCCATGGGAAGCTTGTAAACACCTAATTTACCTGATTGTTTTCATCCACCACTTGAAGAACTGCCGGCTTTGCTGGGAGGGATCACAGATGCTGTCACGTCTACAAGCACAGAGCTGACTTTTGCCATTCAATTAGCTCATCTGTGGTTGTGTATCATTGTCACGCTCCACTCCGGTCTCTTTATGAATACTTTCATCTCTGCTGAGCCTGCCTGTTTCTGTCTCTCCTCATCTCTCCTCTCCCTTCCTCCTTTGTCTGCCTCTCTCTCTGTCTCTCACCCTCTTGTTTTTCCCGTCTACTGAACAGAGACGTGTTGATATGAGGCCCGCTTGCGTGGCCACAAGGGAGCGAGTCTCTGGTGCTTTTGATCAGCTGCGAGATCAGACATGTCCACCCCGCTCCCCCGCGTCCTCCCCCCGCCCCCCCCCCCCCCAGTGACTGATCATGCAGTACGGCGCAGGCACAGACAACCAAAAGATTCACACCCACACATGTTCCCTGTGTTAATCACACAGGCACGGGCACGCGCACGCCGCGGAGGGACCGGGCTCCATGCGTCCGTCGGGCCCCCGCTCACAGCGGGGCGGCTTGTTTTCTGGACACAAGGGAGGGGGGAGGGGAGATGGTGTGTGTGATTTCCCCTCTCTTGCCCTTTCTTTTTCTTTTGACAGTAAGATGGATGATTGCAATCACAGGAGCCATCAGTGAGACAGAGTGGAGGTCTATGGGGCAGCGAGACACAGCCATGGGAAACCAGCCATCAGATTAATGCGCCACGCTGCCATGGGAACAATGTGCTGTTTATTTGTCGGGGTTTGGGGGTGGGGGGGTTGTTGTTTCATATGCATTTTCTTCTCTCGGTCTCCCCTCTATGCAGCCTTTTGATGTACACATGAAAGCTTCCTCGTAAAATATGTGGCGTTTCTGTGAGAGGGACAGAGAAAGAGAGTGTTTACGTTTCACAATCTAGAGCGCCTACTGTAAGTCAATCTGTCTTTCTGGACCAGTCCAAATGCGGACCATTTTTATTGTGATTATACTGGTTTCTTTGATCTCCGGAGAGACTTAGGGGCAGACTTTTCACTCCAGTCGGCGGATGTTTTTAAGAGAAACATCTGTTGCTACACAAATGAGATTACTGTGTCTCTAGCTGGGGGCCATGTTGGTTATGAATGGCCCCGTTGCTGACGAGAAGGACTGGCGGAGAGCTGAGAAGGATCTTTGTAATAAGCAGTGGCTGGTAGTTACGGGTCTTAAACCAAATTAAATTGCCCCAGATCCTGAGTATTCATCAACACTCACTTTGAACTTGCCCAAACGTATAGAGGCCATTTCTATCTCTGAATCACCATCTTATATTGATAGGTCCAATATTTCACCTTGTTGCCAAGCAACTATTCACCTCATGCTCTGTAAACTTGTCAGCCTGTGACACGAGGCGATATTTCATCCAGCAGGAGAGCAACAAGAAAGAAGAATTACTATCCGCAGCCCTTTGAATTAACCGTAATCAGTATTTGGCTGATCAAACTTTACATTATCTGCCGTTTTACGCTCGAAGATTTACGTTTTTGCACTTTATTGCTTTAAATTCAAAGCTATCTGTGTGATAAATTCCTGTGAAAAGCATCACGCTCCTCCCTCCTATTTCTTCTAGGTCAGAGACCTTGAAGCCGTTTGGATCCGTCTTCTCAGGGTCAGCTCCTGACAAAACATGGGAAAAGCCGCAGCTCAGGAGTGCTCACTTACACCCACACAGCTGCTCTCTGGGATAGCTCTGTGTGCCGCTAATGCTGGAAAGTAATACCCCGCTCCACGCTGCAGACATTGCTGCACACATCAGAGCCACTGCCTAAATGTTTTTTGAGACATGTCCACTTTTATACAGCGGCTTGTTTAATGCACCAAAGGATTTCTTTGCGAGACGACAAGAGCAATATTGAAGCTGGACTTTAAATCTCAGAGGCCCTAATGAACAAAGAACAATTCAATAAAAGATCAAGTATCAGTTTTAAAAAATCATTGGGGATTGAAGTGATAAAACTGCTGGATTTTTATATGTACGTATGGCTGTGTCTAGCTTGTGCTTCAAGTGGCTGATATAAAAAGAAATGACTTGTAGTGAAAATGTTCCTCTCTCATTTGAGGTCTCTGTGTGTAGAAGCCCACAAAAAAAGACAAGAGGGCAGAACTGCTCCACACAACAAACGTGAGCACATTTTCAAATCTCCAAATGTCTTTGAACTCCTGGAGCTGACAGTTCATTTTAAATCGTCCCAACGTTTGACCTTTTGTAGCTCAGCAGACATGAGAGGGGGGGGGGCAGTTCCCTGAGGTCAGGGCAGAAGAGGTGAGAAGTTGGAAAAGTATGTTGTTTGTATTTTATCATTCCTACGAACTAACACAATTACTTACACTTATCTTGTAGCTATTCTATTTCCTAATTTTGCTAACAAATCAAATACCGAACAACACTCAAGAAAACAACTCTGTTGCTAAGCAGCTGAAAACTCGAATCTGAGGGCGTGTTAACATAATACACATCACACATGTACCACTGTTCTGCCCTTCTGTCGCATCAAAGACTCCTTAAGAAGTGGCGTTTATTGATGCAAACTACATCAGTCCTGGGCCCCGACAGCAGACAGAGTTCACTTCATATCTGCTGAGGTGAAGATGAATGGCGTCCCATTGTGCATAAGACAGAAAGCTGTCGGGTTATGAGAACGGCCCATTGTAGCAGAATTAAGTTTGAAGACGCAAAAAGAAAGAAAACAACTTTCAAAGTTCCCCCTCATGGATGTGATTTATCCGGGGATGAGGGCTCTGGTGGTTGGGGCCATCTGACACCGTTATAGCCGACTGACATCAGTGGCTTCAGCAGCTGCAGAATCATGAGCTCATTAAGTGGGTTACGGCTGCAAAAAAAAGAGTCTCATTTAAGACAGTAAAGTTGGTTTACTTCTGCGTTACGGCTCTAAGATAAGAGGGGTCAATTTCAATCCTCCACATAATGGCTTTTCGCTCCCATCGGATGAAATGAGGCACACGCCGTTTGCATCCTCTCTCTTTTGCATCTCTGTCTGCCTCATTGCCGCTAAGAAAACCTATAATGGGCAGTAAAAACAACAAGTAATGTTAGACCAGATCCTGGAAGGAGCAACGCAACTCTTTTGCTACAAAAAAGTCACACAACAGAACAAATACCAGTTTGGAACTATTTCCTGATATGTTTGGTCTATAAGACCAAAGACCAAAACCCATCATCCTGTTATTAAAAGCAAAACAAACCCAGCAAAACTGATATTAAGCAACATATCGCTTAGCAACCAAAGATAAGATACAGATGCACACTTTTATTACCTACACTGGCATTTTTTGTGTATGTTTTCTCCATTTTCCGAAAACCATATTACCATGATATCATCCACAAATCCACTGAGTTAGGTATACAAATGACAGGCCTTTAACTGAAAAACCATTTTATTTAATGTTTTTTACTTATTTAATCAGTCAGGTTTTCTATATCATTAGAGAAACCTGCAAAAACGAGACCTACTGTCTGAAACAAGTTTCAAAATATGTTTTTTATAAATAAGAAACGCTGTAAAAGCCTGAGACTAAGACTTCCTTTCAGGAAATGTGAATGAAACAGACTTTTTATTAAAAAATAAACCAATGAAATCAATCAGGTCAGACTCATGTCTTTATGATTTAGGTATAAACAATCACCAAAATGATATCAAGAATAAAATCTTTGTTTCTTTTTTCATTTTTACAGAGAATATAGATACAAAATAAATATAGATACAAAACATGTTGCACAGAGGCCATAAATAGATACATTTTGGATTCAGCAGGTGCGCACTGGGCCTTTGTTTCCTCCAGGAGTGCATGCTTTTAGAGGCTTGTGTGTTCAGGAGGAGAACCACTGGGCCAGGTCCTGCACCACGTCGGTGCGCCCCCTGCCCCCCCTCACCGCCCTGCAGGCCGTGCAGTAGTGCTCTGCCCAGAAGGCCGGCTGGTGCACGCTGTAGCCCCCCCTCCAGTCCAGGTGCCGCCGCATGCGGCTGGGGCTGCGGCCCAGCGCCAGCAGGTAGCGGGCCAGCTCGCGCACGGTGGGGAAGTCGTCCACGTGGATGAACGCCTCGGGGGGCAGGAAGCGCTCGTAGTTGCGCCGGGGGGGCCCCAGCACCACGGGCACGGCGCCGGCGCGCACGGCGTTCCACAGCTTCTCCGTGATGTAGTCGGTGTGCTGCGAGTTCTCCAGCGCCAGGTAGAAGCTGTAGCGCGCGGCCAGACGCACCACGCTTCCGCCGCCCCCCCCACCGGCGCGCGGCAGAGGCCGGCCCGCGCGCCCGTACACGTCCACCTGGACGTACCTGCGGAGCCGGTGGTAGAAGGCCACGCGCGCGTGCTTCTCCGACCAGTTGCTGATGACCCAGGCGGCGAGGCGGCGCCGGGGGCGCGCGAGCTCGTCCGGCGGAGCTCGGCCGTGCTCGGCCGTGCGCGCGCGGGGGAGCAGGTAGCCGTAGGGCAGGAAGATGTCCGAGTCGCTCCGGTAGCTCATGGTCAGGTTGAACGCGCCCTCCAGGAGCCAGAGCCTGCGCGTGTGCGTGGGGGACTCGTAGTTGAGCCATATCCACTTTTGCGCGCGGGGCCGGGGCTCCGCGGGGAGGCGCGCGGACCCGGAGGCGATCTCCCGGTGGTGGAAGATCACGGCGTCGGCCGCCCGGTACGCGCTCGCGTCGTCGGTGATCGCGCACCCGCCGATCCGGTAGAGCCGCAGGCAGTCCGGGAGCGCGCCGCGCCGCCCGAACGGGTGGCTCCACACCAGCAGCGTCACCGGGCCGGCGTCGTCAGGCGCGGGGGGGGGCGGCGTCCGGAACCGATCCGGGTAGAGCGCGCACACCCCCCGGAACAGCAGGAACACCGCCACCGCCGCGCTCGCGCAGGAGCACAGCCGCCGGAGAGCGCGCGCGTAACGCGCCCTCCGCGGCCAGCAGAAGGACCGCCCGACTCCCATGGGCGCCCCTCGCCCTCCAGCTTCTCCCCTCTGCCAGGTATAGCAGCGCGTGGGAGCCAGAGGTCCACTCCCGAGCCGGATCCGGAAAGGAGCAGCACAGAAAAAATGACCTCTGCCCTCAACGATATGATCCCGGCTGACACACCCAACACAAATAGTCAAGTATAGAGGTGATAATGCGGGTGATAATTCAATAATTCCAGCATTCACATTTAAAAATACCACAGTGGAGTTTCTCTCTGCATTGTTTCCTGCTGTCCCCTTCTTCCCTGCTTTGATGGGAACTTTGCTCCTGTCTTCACCAGCCAAAAGAAAGTGAAAATAGATGGCCCGGAGCTGTGCAGTCAAATAGGGTTTGACGTGGCAGTGCACGGGCCACCAGGGCTCCGGTTACAGCTGAATGGGGCTTTTGTGAGACCTGTTGACCGTCGGAGGAGCCTCTGGATACTTTCAGGGTTGGGCAAACACCTTGACCCGGGGCGCGCCGGAGAAACAAGCAAAGCTCTCATTTTCTTCTTGAAGGAAAAGAAAAAAAACAGGGTTTGTTTACTCGGCCTTTAAAGCAGGGCCCGAGTTCAACTAAAAGTGTGGAGGTGGCCGCTCTATTTTTAGTCCCTTGGCCTCTGTATTTCACGTATGCCCGGATCAGAGGAGGCCATGGAGTTTACTGGTCTCTAACGAAAAATTTGGGCACTTATCAGATCACCTGGACCCTGCCTGAGTCCACCAAACATCTGAAGCCGTCCACCACTAGGTGTCTCCCTACACAAGCCCAATGCCTGCTGAGTGCAGTGCCAGGCGTTTTCCTTAAAACATTCATGTTTAAAACAGCCAATGAATATACGTCTCAGCTGGAAATTGGACATGCTAACACTAACGAGGCTTTAAAAAGGTTCCTCTTGAATGCTTTATTTATAAGCTATGACCCCTCCTCGCAACACCCTCCAACCATAAATTTTAATAAATGACTCATAGTTTTAATGGGATGATCTAATATAAACAAATACGGCGACTGAAAAAAAACAAAAAAAACAGCCACACAAACTGGTCGGGCTGGGGGTAAAACTCCCTGAGCCAGCCATTAAAGACAGACCGGGCTCGTTCTGTCTGGGTTGTTTGTTGTTACGCGACAGTGTTCTGATCAGAACTGATGAAAAAGTGATGAGGGGAGGGGGGGGGGGGCAGAGCTGGAGATCTAGCTCTGCTGGAGTGTTGCGCCTGAGCCCTGGTGGGCAGGGAAAACATGCCGGGGCTGGGACGACATTTTTCCCTCCCCGAAGACGCAGAGTATGTCATGAAGTCTGACTGCCAGTGGAAAAAAACCAAACACCGAGGAGTGGGAGGAGGAGAAGTAAGAAGCATGTGTGTCTCCGCTGGGTCCTCCTCCTTCCTGTTCCATCCATTCACTTTTCTTCACCGTGAGGCCTCTGTGTGCATGCGCATGTGTGTGTGTTTGTGTGTGTGTATGTGACCATCTATCCCCACAAGAGATTTTGTATTCTTTGTGCATTATTTATCCTCCCTTTCATCCCAACAGTTCTATTTCGGGCCGATCATTGAATGTCCTGCCCGCGGTTAGCTTGACTTGGGGCAGCCTTGTAAGACACGGCGACATGATTAGAAGCACGTGCTCGTTTTTTAAAAGAAAATGGGAGAAAGGTTCCCGAAAGACAGCAAAGTGATGCACAAGAACTGGATTAAGTGGTTCCCTCTGCAGTTCGGTGGGATTCGTTAGCCTGGAATCACTAGAATTGAGCTGTTTAGTGATTATATGGAGACACTTTGTGCTGCTCAAAGAGTTTTCACACAGCTTAGCATTTGTGCTCGTGTCATTTTTTACTGTTTTCTCCGTCCCCAATAAAAAAAAGTACCATCGTGCTCGTACGCTCTTTGTTTAAGGGATCAGTGTTGGATCTCTTTCGGTTCAAAGATCCTGTTCAACAGCTAACGTCACGTGTACGTAAAGAGATAATTATTTGCACACTTTTCAGACTTGTATTCACTGCCTCCATGCTTTTTTTTTTTTCCTCCCTCCCCACAGTGACTGGATGTGTTGTGGATGTGTGAATACCAGCACAGAGAGAATCATTCAGCTGTTGATGGGACCTCCAGGTCTTCACTCATTTTCCCTATTGATTTTCTCTTGCTTCCCCTTTTTGCTCTCCCGGGGGAGAGGATGTCTCAATTGGTCCCGCCTGGCGGAGGAGACTCTGAGCGATAAAGCAACAGATAGAAGGTGAGAGAAAGAGAAAGGAAGAAAAATTAAAGACGAGACAGAAAGCGAAGCTGAAAAAAAAAAACAGGAAGAACGTGCGGCAGGGGGGGGGGGTGGTCTGCGATTGGGCTGATCACTGAGGCCCGGGCTGACCCCTGACCTTGATCATGACCTCGGAGGGTCTCCCAGGGGTCAGAGGTTGTGTGAAAGTGCCAGTGCGGCGATTCACTCCGGCGCGGGCGGATGGTGATCTTATGCAGCCTCCCCTGCCTGTCTGACATGATCAGTGTTGCTCTCTGCCCGCGGCTCTCATGGGCCTCACATGCGTCCGTAACCCGGCCACACAGGGCCCGCTAAAAGCACCTCACAGCCAGTCAACGGGCAGGAGGGAAAGAGGGACACCAGCAGGAAAAAGGAGGAAAGCTAAAGGACAGAGAGACTGTTTTATTTCGTGCCCCGTAGCTCTGGCATGGGAGGAGATCTAGTTGAATAATAGCGATGGCATAAAGAATGTGTTTATTTCTCTATATTTTTAACTTTAAGCAATTGTACAAGAGCTGATGAGGCTTTTTAAATCTCCAGGCACCAATGCGTTCCTGGTACTGTCCTTGTCATGAACAATTTATGCTGTTTTTGCTTTTTCTCCTCTCTAACCGTGTGCAATAAAAACCCCTCTCAAGCTATTCAAAGCAAACATGGATCTCTTTTAGGAACGTGATCATTTGCGGACAGATTGATAACTCTGTTACTGGTTCTTATGTAAACGGTGGACTGTTTACCCCCAGCTGCTTCAAAGACTTGCAAGTTCCTGACAAATCCTCCCAGAGACTGTGTGCTAAAATGCCCGGCTGAAATGTTCTAGATAGCAGTATCTGCGTCTTTTCCTGGAAACGTTGCTCCTATGTAGCAGCCGACCGTATGAGCAAATATCTTTACGGACATAACTGAAAGCTTTAATGATCTCCTGCTAAAACAAGCCTGAAATAAAAGTCGCAGCTCAATACTTGGTAACTTACAGAATGAACTATTCATCCTTTATTTCTGATGAGCGCTGTGGGAAGGATAGATTCTCAAGTTAATGTGTTTTCTTTTTTTTTTGGGCTGATCAATGTTCTGAGAAATTCTCCTGCTTTTCAACAGTACCTCTGGTGACATTTGAGCTGGGCTTTGTATTTGTATCTAAGAGACGTTTCAGTTGTACAATCTGTGAAATGTTCAGTTTTCATGGTGTCCAAAACCCAGAAGCCAACAGTGTCGAATAATCATGGAAACGTACAACAACTCTCCAATGCTGGTATTGACAATAGCATCCTGTTCAATGAGTTTCTGCTCGACCTGACACAGCAAGGCTAGTGGTATGTCATGGATCGTGTTTCTTTTAGTGTCACTTCATTGTGTGCTGGCAGGAGACGCTATACAAATACACCATAATGGACACATTGCAGAACTACTAAGCTTGTGCGGATTATCTCAGACCCGTATTTCTGGTTTAGCTTAATGATAGGTAGCATCACCAGTCAGAGGCCATGCTAGGGTAACACTGATTAACAAAGGGAAAGAAATGAGAGGATTAAATACAGAATTCATCTGTTCATATGCAGTTCTTTCTCGAAAATGATAACAGAACTCACTGTATAGATCAACAACGGGCAGTGTTTTCCATGTTTAATGTGAATCACACTGCTGTTATTATATCTCAATGATTAAATCAAAGCATATGCAACTCTTTCTTATATACAGGAACTATAATTTAATGTATCTTATACAGCCCATGTGACTGGGTGTGATGAGAAAGCTGCAGTCGGCCTAAAAATCACTGTATTATGGCTATAAATTAAGTTTAAAACGAGACAAAGTTATTTGGGGAGCATATCAGTTTAGAACTGAGCACCATTCATACTGTAGGAGGAGACACAAACAGCTTCAAATCAAATCAAGTAATGGCCTGAAAGTCGAGGTAATTCAACACACAAGAATGCCCACCTTTGTATCCACACAAATGCAGCAAAAGAGGTGTTATTATCTATGGCAAATTCTCACGTTATTTTTAGTGAATGCGATTAAAGTGCAATGACTGTGAAAAAATGAAAATGATTGGTGGGAGAAAAATAGGCTGTGGAATATTTTTGTTGAAGGCTCCAAGCACTCAAGCAAGCAAAATAAAATAAATAAATCGGCAAAGTGTGAACACGGGTGTGGACTTTCCACACAGGCGGGCCTAACAACACACTCCAAGAGTTTAAATTTGGGATGCCACAGAGTGCTAAAATTAAAACAATATGTATAGCAGATTTGTCACCCTGATAAACCAGAGCTGCTCAGCTCAGGGCTGGTGTGCAGAGCAGTTGGAGGGAGAAACTGTTTTTTATGGGGGATGAAGTAGTACAGTTCAACAAAGGAATTTGGGGCACACCATACATACAGTGTAATTAGATTCTTTGCATATTCCTCTGAGGCACGTCGCCCCACACTGAGAGGGTCAGAGGACATGGTCAGCAGGAGTGACGCCTCAGGAGCAGCCAGGGTTCAGCGCACCGCTCAAGGTCACTTCAACAAAAGATATGTCCGCACACTGACACTCTGACCACAGGCTGCCCGCTGCAGCTCCCACTTGACTGGATTACCGGCACAACAAGCCTATTTGATAAACTGATCTGATGAATATCTGCAATGAAAATAATTCCTTATCAGGCTTAAGGTTAAATTGAATTACTGTACAGAGAGAAACTCATTAACTTCAAAATACCTTGTGCCAAGTTTAGGATCATGCGTTTTTTTTTTTAAATTGCTCGTATAACCAAGCTTGGTTTTCCAACCAGATCTTCCAATTGAACAGAAACAATCCAATACATATTTATCATTGAATTGTTTTTATTATTCAACTGTTGCCTGCGTTGTAAATGCACTTTTACACTTCTGTTGAGCATACCATTTTTATTATTCATTAAACTATTATCAGTGTTACTTTTTTTCAATTTTCAGCGGTGTGACTGGCTACCGATACAATTCTCAGGGTTTATGTCCGACAGAAGCATCGCTCATTGATGCAGCAAATACATTTCTTTGGTGTACTCACACAAACTTTGGTCCTGAATGCTTCACCAGTTTACATGTGTTTTCCTTTTTTGTTTCCATGGAGAGATCACTGAACATGTCTGCTAGCCATAAGCTTTAGGGCCAAAGGCCTCTGGTGTTTTCTGGAAACATAACATACATAAGACCGAAACGGAAGTTCATGACAACAGGAAACGACTGCAAATCGAATTACACGTGTATTGAACTGGATTTAAATCTGACTTTTTCCACTTATGTACCTGTATATTGCACTAACATTTGTAGTACATTTACCTAATAAATAAGTAGGTTAAACTAAGTTGAACTAAATTAATTAATGTAAAACAAACTTAAACAGATTTAAAAAACAAATACAAAAAAATAGATGCCATATGCATTAGGATGCTCTTTCTGGACTAAAACCACCCTTCCTTCCGTTCAGAAAATGTTGGGAGTTCCTGTGTTAGAACTACCAAAATAGAAATGCATAATCCTAGATGTGTTAAAAAATATTACATTTACCTAAAATGACATCTAAGAATTAAACTTCAGACTAAATCAACAATAAAATAGATAACTAGTGAAACAAAGTTACAATAATGGTATCCAAAACAACCACTGCCAACTACTAAACCCTAATAAAGACAGACAGAATATCTCAAAAGGGCGCAAAAAAACCAAAATGAGGCACAACTGGGGGTATTGACCCATCATCTGTCATGTGTAAGGAGACCTAAATAAAACAGAACAATTGCTCAACCAATGCCAGAGCACCAATAAGAGAAACATAAAAAAATGTATCTATTTTTTGGAGAAACTAAAACAAGCTCAATTCACGTCTGGTTTTATGAAGTGGATATTTGGTCTCCTTTAATCCAGCAGCTGATCCTGGGTGGAACAGTGAGGGGGGCCTCTCGGGCGTCTGGGCCCAGGGGCCCGTTGTTTGACAATGCGCCCGTGCTCTGCCTGCTGGCATTATTTCTGTCTGATCTTTGCTCTCCGTAAAAAATAATGATTAAAAAAACAACAAAAAAAATACAACCACAACGCGAAACACGAGCTCTCTCTCCCCCCTTCGGCGTCTATTTAAGTGGAATGGAGTCAAGAGTAACGTAAGCCTACTCGGCTGTTTACCTGTAATATCTGATTGTTGATCAAACGCTATTTAAACAATTATAATGGCGTTATTAAGGTGACACCCCCGCGAGGTGACTCCGCTCCACGCGGCGGCTGGCGCGGGGGCGCGAGGCGGTCGCGATCCGGTCCGGGTGTTCCGGCAGCCCGGTCCTCTCCACTGAACTCCAACCCCCGCGCTCTCTATCAGCATCTCATTCCTGTCTCAATATGTCTCAAGATGGCGGCCAATGCAGGATCGATGTTTCAATATTGGAAGCGCTTTGACTTACAACAGCTCCAGGTCAGTCCTCCCTCCGTCCAAACCGCCTCTCCGCCGTCGGCTTCGGCCGCCGCCGCTCTCCCGGCCGCCGGGTTTCGTGTGTTTTGGTTTTTTCGGCGGTCGCCCTCGTAGGTGTTTTGGGGGAAGAGAATTCAAGACCTCTTCCTCACATTGATGAAAGTGGCTCTCTCGCTGATCAGAAATTGATCCTCTTTGTTCAATTCCGCATCGATCGGACTCCGCGAGCGGGCAGGCCGGGGCGACGCCGCGGGCACGCGCCGGGCTCGGGGGGGAAACGGCGGCTCTCCGGTGGGAAAGCTTTCGGTTGGTTATCTTTAATGCGTGTTCTTCAACTTTTACCGGAGCGAGTAGCCGTAGTTAGCCCGACGCTTTAGCCGCTCCGGGGTTGGATCATTCGGGGGGGAAAAAAATAAGTGCGACTCGCTCTACGGTGGCGCTGTGGTGACACCGGCCGTGAGCCGGGCAACACGGACACACAACACGGACACACAACGGCGCTTTCGTGTGTTTTTTTTTTTAACGTGCTTTTAACTGTCACATCGGGAAGTTTAGTTGAACCCGAGCGGAGACATTAGCAACCGAATCGGCTAACGGTTTTGGAACAGTTTATATGGAACTCGTCTCCGTGATTAGGGTTGATCAACTCGGCCGTTTATTATTTTTTTCTTTCTTTTTTTTTCCTTTCTTGTCGGCTTCCCCTGACGGCGTTGGGTTTTTTTTTTTTAACAGACGTTGCCACGTCTGTGGATCCGGACAGGACGGGACGGTGCTCGTTGACGGGACGCAATTAGAACCGTGTATGTTGGAAATGTGATAGATCGTGACCTTGTGATTGTAACGAACTCCTGAAATGCCCCAGCCTCGCGCACGCTGCTAATCTCCGCGTGCGCGGAGGAGATCCATGGGCACGGAGGGAAGGATACGAGGGGAAAGAAGAAAAAAAAAATATCGGGCCCCGTTCAGCGTGTGAATATATTAGTGTGTTTGACCCATCACAAGACGTGTAGACAATGGCTCTGTTGTGTGTTCCCGTGGCATTTAACGTGCGTTGCTGAATTTCAAATTTCAGTTTATGATTATCAGTAGCCTCGGTGGCCGTCGTCATTAACATAAGGCTGAATTATGTAGGCTAGCCCAATTGTCCATACATAAATTTGTGAATTGCACAGGCCTGGGATTTAAACTTTTATTTGGGTCATGATGCCCCTATGACTGGGGAGACAAAAGGACAGTGAACAAGTCTTCCCAGCGGGCTTTGTGTTGCACTTACGCCACATCATCAAGGCTTCACTTCTCCTATTTATTTGATCCCGTTTGGTCCTCCTACTAGTGCCCTCTTGTTCATGCATTATGTAAAAAAAAAAAAAAAAAAAAAAAAAAAAATTGACACCTCTCTCTCTTGTCTTTCCTCACTATCTACCCCCCCCCCCCCTCCCGCCCCCCCCCCCCCCCCACCCTCCACGTTTGTCTCCCTCTCCTCCCCCTCCCTTCCTTTTATATTTTTTTCTCTCCTTTCTGGCCCTTCACCCAGCTTTCACCTATTTTGCCCTATTTGAACTGGTGTGTGAATGTGTGTGTGTGTGTGTGTGTGAGAGAATGTCTCTGAGACCAGGCTTTGTGTGTGTGTGTGTGTGTGTGTGTGTGTGTGTGTGTGTGTGTGCGTAGATTGACTGCCAGCACGGACAGTGAAGGCACTGCCAGCAGCCAGGACATGAAAAATGCATCGCATAAGTTTGTGATAAGGCCCTGGGTAATTATGGCAAAGGCCCCTATCACAAGCGATTAGTCAGGACAGTGAATCTGAGCGTGTGCAAAAAGGCTGGCGGTTGGCAGGCCTGTCTGCAGGATAGGAATCAGCCGGAGCTGGTGTGTGTGCGCGCTCGCGTCTGTGCGCGCGTGTGTGTGTGTGTGTGTGTGCGCGCCGAACTGCTCAGAACATTCACTGTCTATTATTGATGACATCTTATTTACTCTCCCTCCCACTGAGAGGCTCCTAGAGGAAAGCCTTCAGAGAAGGGCCTTTTTTTTTTTTTTCTCCTCCACTTTTTGAGGATAATGTGGGGTTGGCATGATATGATCGGAGCCTACGCGGCCTTGTCGGCCACTTGTCTCCTCATTTGCCTCTTCCATGTGATCGAACGGACAGTGTGGACTGTACCCTTCCAGTGTGTGTTGTTTAGTTTTTTTCTCTCTCCGTAAGAGGCACCAGCAAAGGAATGTTTTCTCTTCTTTCTTTTTTTTTTTGGCGTTTCCTTTTGAAGATGAAAATCTAACCCAACCTGGATGTCTGTAGCTTTAAGCCACCGCGGCGTCTATTCCTCAGACTCCGAATGCTGATGTTCATTAAAACCCTATTTGATCAGCGTGTCCCGGTCCCTGTGTGAGAAAGCAGCTAGGTGGCTGTTGGAGGACAGAGAGTGCTTTGAAACGGCACAGTGAGCTGTTAAGTTGTCTCTGCATGCTTTTTTTTTTTTTTTTTGTGTTTTTTTTTTTTTTTTTTCTTCCTCTTTCCACCACCGCCACTACAAACACAAATGGGTGCAACAGTGATGCTTTTAGCAAGGTCTTGCACACTTGCAAAGTGGATCAGTGATTCAGAGATGATGGCAGGGTGACAGTGAATTACAGATGGAGGAGGTTTTAACGACTGTAATCCCTGTCCGTCCATTACAGAGTTGAGTTTCTTTAGAGGGGATCATCACTCTTCTCTCCTGTTGTTTTTTTCCCTTTTCTCTTTTCCTCTTTTTTTTTTTGACCCAGTCAAGCAGTTTGCCGGAACATTGCGTTTCAGCTCCAGAGCGATGAGAGACGGCTCTTCATTAGAGGCCTCAATGAGACACGCACCTCCACCACAAACTTGTATTTTCTGCATAGGCTCAGAAAAATTAAGAACAGACCACTCGGTTCAACTTAATTCCCAATTTAGGCGGAACAGCCCACATCTCACCTCCTAATATTTCCTGGAAAAATGCACCCCAGAGCCACTTTGAAAAATAGTTCACTGCGTTAGTGGATGGCTAAACGGTGACTGGGATGAAAACCGATCCAGACCCCGTTCTTATTCACTACCTCCTAATGGGTAAATTTAGGGAAAGGGTTTTGTAAGCTGATCCCAGAGCTGTGGTCAGTGGCAACCTGAGTGGTATAAATCTCTCAACGACTGGCTGGCTGTTGTCTGCAGGAGTTTTAGTGTTAATTTATGAGCTGGTTGTCTGAACTCACTGGTGGGATATTTTTACCCCTCTGTTGCTGCACAGGCTGGAGGGGGAGCACAGAGGAAGGGGGCATCACGTCATGCCTCCGCTGTAGCCAACCGCTTCTCTGCCCGGTGACAAAATCTGGCATGGGCACTGAGGTTTCACTGTGTGGTGGTGAGCGACTAAGCATGAGTCAGAGAAAGACGGGTGCATGTCAGGTCTCCGGTCTGTCCTCGGTCTGCTTCAGTTGGGCCTCTGCCATCTTACTTTCTAAGAGCTCTAAGTCTGATCACACAGGGGTCCGTTCCTCACAACCGAGACTAACGTGCAGCCCTGACAGAACATTAAATAAAAAAAAAACAACCCCAAAAAATATCACATTTGACCTCATCAGTGGGGAATACCATCACCTTCTCTGAGATTTGGCTCAGTTTCTTTTCTTAAGGTTTGGTTTATCCAACGTTTTTCTCTGGAACAGCCTTGATCTGAACACGCTGTGGAGTTCTAGTCTGGCACACTGAAAAAAAGTTGATACAAAAATGTAATAACCGTCTAAAAGAATAAAAAAATAGATACCAGCATTTCGAAAATTTCAAAACTTTTTGAAAAAGATTTCTATTAAAGGTGACGGTTTCATTAGATTTTCTGGAGATAGTCCAGGTTCACAGTGGAAGTTGTTCTGCAGAATATATAACAGCGCACTATTCAATTATCCTCAAAGAGGAACTTTCAGTAGTTTAACAAGAAAATAATCTTTTGTTTGTATGAACCCTGAAAGTTCAAATATGAGGGAAATTAATACGGTTCAGTGTCAAGACATTTCTGACAAAAATCAGAAAATTCGTTTTGAATGATGTTTTTTTATACTTTCCAAATCTTAGAAAAGCTTTTTTTCACAAATCAATCAATTATATTTCTGCATAAACCTAAAGAAATCCCCAAAATATCTTTTAAGTTTTTTATTTGTGTTTGATAAGGCTTTTAAAAATCTCTTGACAGTTACAACTGCAATAAAAATGTTCACATAATTTACCGTAAAACATCTGTCACAACCCTTTCAAGGCTTTCTTTATATTGCGTTTTTTTAATCAGTATGTATTGGGAGCCTTTTTTTTTAACAGAAAAAAAGTCACAATGCAGCTCTTTAGTTGCTGTAATCTTTATAAGAAAGGGTAACCACTGAAATGGGTCCAAAATGTGGACCAAAACTCAAAAAGTTTGCCAGAAAGACGCTGCACCTCTTACGCATTTAGCTCCCCGACTTTAAAACACTTACATTTTGGGCTGACAAAACGTCCCCCACCAGCAACCAGGAGCCAGAGCATAGGGGGCACTTTCCAGAGGCCTATTTTCAAGTGGCAGGCATTATTTACAGCCCCACTTGGAGTCTCCCACACCTACAGCATCATAGAGTTTCAGCGTATCTCATGACAGAGGCATCCATTATTGTGCTGCTCCGTGTTCCTGCAGAGAGGGGGGGGGGGCAAAAGGTTCTCTCCTGTCCTGAAGGCTTACTTAAAAAACATTCTGCCTTCTTCCTCCGCTGTGTTAGTGTGATGCCTACTTTATTAAAAACACACACACACTACCTCAAAGCCTTATTTAATTTCATAGGGTCTATTGCTCATCTTGTAATATTGAGCCTAAAGTCCTGGTTAACAAAAATGTGTCAGTCCTTTGGGGGGAACATGTCTGTTCTTGTCCATAAATGACTGGCAAAGTAAGAGGTGACAGAGGGAGGCGTTTCTTTTGTTGAATATAGACACGGACTGTCAAGTGAAATGACATTCACACACCACAGCG